TCCCCCCCCCCCAGCCCCACACCCGCACCCACACACCCTCCCCACTGGAGAGGAGCTGGCTGGTGGCACCCGCTGGCTGCACAGGGAGCAGCTGGACATGGCCAGCTCCTGCCAGTGTCACTCCCACTGGGTGGCAGAGGTCGGTGGCTGTTTTGCCTTTAAAGGAAAGGCATGTGTGTTCACCCCGTGCTCCTGGGCTGGTCCGTGGGGCCACGCAGGCACCAGAGCCAGGCCCTTGTTCAGCCCACCCTGTGCTGGCTGTGCCATGACTCCAGGGAGCAGCTGAAGTCACTCTAGTAAGACCAGGAACAAGTCCCCAGGCTGGAGCCCTCTTCACTTTTTAACCTGTTTTACCTGTGCTCTTTTGCTCACAGTCCTGGAAATCAGGTTTGCTGAAGTCTTGTGTAAGGCTAGATGTAAAACTGTTGCCACAGGCTGTAGATCCCCTCAGAGTTGTCTCCAGTGGGTCCAGTGTTCTGGAAGGACCACGGGATTTTCCTACCATGACCAAACCCATCTCTCCCCTCATTCCACACAAAAGCTGCCCAAGCAGTGGGGTGTCAGAACCATGATGCTGCAGGAGGATAATGGCAGGAGCTCCCTTCTTGCTGCCTAAGGACAGCTCTGCAAAAGCAAAACCCTGTACCAGCAAGAGCACAGTGTGTTTTGGCTCAGCCGAGAGGCAGGGAGCCACAGCCACTTACTGTCTCTCTGGGAATACAATTATACGTCTCCAATCAACACACAAAATTGCTGCTGTTACTGAAATGTCCAGCCTTGTGCATGCTGCTGAAGATGTGGGCCACCTTCCCTCCTGCTCTCCCTGGAACTCTGGGGTTTTTTTAACTGGTGCCACCCACCTAGAGCTGTATCCATTAAACATTCTTAATATAACACATAGCTGCCCATCTGCCTGAGTGCACAGCAGCAGGAGGGGCACACACTGCACCTGCACTTGCTGCTTTCTCAACCAGCAGGGTAGGTGCATCCAGGGTTGAAATGTGGTTGTGCTCTGGGGTGGTCTGGCACAACTGTTTGACACTTAAAAAAACCACTTTAGTAGAAGTCTTTAAAGAAAGGTGTCTAGCTGAGATTGCAGGGGCAGTGAGGGGGGCTCAGTGCAACCACCAGTGTCAGGTCCTGCCCAGAAGCCACAACAGCTCAGTCATGTCTGTCCTGAGGTAGGTGCCTTTTCCTGCTCTTTGTGCTCCAGGGCTCATCCAGCACCCACTTGCAAGAGGTTGTGCTGTATCCCCCCAAGCAGCACCTTGCAAACCTGCCACTTCCCTGGGCAGCCCAGCGCCTGGCAACCCTTCCAGTAAAGATTTTTTCCTAATATCCAACCTAAACCTCCCCTGGCACAACTTAAGGCCATTTCCCCTTGTTCTGTGGCTTCTTACCTGGGAGAAGAGACCAACCCCCTCCTTCCAGACAGCTGCAGAGAGCAACAAGCTCTCTCCTCAGCCTCCTTCTCTCCAGGTTCCCTCACCCACTCCGAGGTCCTGTTCTCCATCCCCTCCTTCCTTGCCCTTCTCTGCCCCTCAACATCTCTTTTTTCCGACCCAAAACCGAGCACAGCCTTCGAGGTGCAGCCTCACCAGCGCTGGGGACACGATCCCTGCCCTACCCCCCCCGCTCTCCGCCCCATTCCCCGCACAAGCCGCGATTGCCGGAATCCCAGTTCTCCATCC